CAAAACCGATGCAGATTTTTGTATGTGTGATCAAAGGCATATATGTCATACAAAATTTGCTATTTTAAAGAGTATACTTTCAAATGGGCACTCTTTGTCTTGCCCTAATTACTACATAAGTACATATGTTGCAATAACTCTTAAACAGAAATCTTGATTTTTGTTGGAACCAGCTGAAGGAATCTACTAGTAACAGGTGATCCAAGTAGAGGTTCTTTTCCAATACCCCTTTTTTGAGAGATCACGTGTGAGTCACTTCAAGCTCTCATGTTATTCTTTATTCAGTATTATTTGACATTTTATTATCATTGAAGAGACTTACAATTGAATTTGTGGAAAAGTAACGATTTGGTGTGGTTTGTGGGCCATTGAAATCATCGCTTTATATTTCATCAAAAATGATGCCTATGCGACCGTTACTCGCCATCATAACCGACTGTTTCATGCCTGAAATTGAAGGTCGTGATCTTGGCGACATGAGGTTTCAACAAGACAGCGGCACTTCCCACACATCGCACCAATCAATGGATTTATTGAGAGAATACTTCGGTGAGCAGATAATTTCATATTTCGCCCTACCTTCGCGTCATGGATTTACGGCTTTACAATCGATTTCTCATATTTTCCAGATTTCACATGACTTTTTAATTTTAGGGTTATCTTAATAAATCCATTTTTCATCATCAGTGAGTCTACAGAATCGCCCCTCAAAGCCTCTTAGCTTCAAATCATATGGCATAACATTTTGAAATAGCTGACAGAGTTACTCCCAAAGACTCTGCGAGCTTCTTGTGCGTTGCGTAACAATCTTTAAGGAGTACTGTTGATAGTTGTTCATCTTCAACCTTTTTTGGCCGTTCTGAAAGTTCTTCGTCCTTGAAGCTAAAATCTCTATTTTTAAATCGGCCACAACACTCTTGGCACGTTCGCTCAGCTAGAGCATATTCCCCATAAACATCCAATAAAAACAATTACTTTCCGCTGAGCTTTCTTTATTTAAAAGTAGTGAGAGAAGCCAACTGCAAAATCAATTTTTCCAACTATGCATGTATTATATATTACAGTAGATATTCAAATGCATTTTGAAGCCATACAACTGCCGTTATAGTAATAAGCAAAACACAGGCTATTTGTAGAAACCATTGAGGGTAAAGGGACTTCTTTTGATTTTGTAGCGGTACCAATTGTTTTGTAAGGAAGTATTTGTGAAATAACCTGCTCTAGTCTTCGTGATAGCTTTTACCCTTGACGGCATGGAGTCAACAAGGTTCATAAGTCGCAATTAACTCCTTTTTATACGATGGTTTCTATTCAGCTAGATTTCACTTCATTACGTGTCATAAGTGCTCAATCGGATTTAGATCTGGGGAGTTACCCGGCCAAGTCAACCGTGAAATTCCTATATTCCCGAACACTTTTACGAGCTAGCAAAAAAAAATTTAATTCTTATTAATGCTTTGTTTCCAATTATTTTGTAGAGAAGGATGACACATTTAATACAAATCATTACTTACCGATTTAGCTCGGTGGCATGGCATGGCGTGGTCTTGAAAAATTGTGCCCGAAAAAGAAGGTTGCTCTTCGAGAGCCGGAATTAAAAATTTCTTCACAACTTAGGCATATATTTGAACCTTCACTTTGCCACATACAAATTGCATAAAACCACGGATGTAATAGGAAAGGCACCCCCAGATCATCCCACTTTGAGTGAACTTAACATTTTTGGCAATATATTGTTCTTCAAAACGTTCTCTAGCAAAGCGGCGCACTGCAGGTTAACTTGCATCGTCTGACCACAAGACGTTTCGCCATTACTCACGTAACCAGCTTTTTAACTTATTTGTCCATTTCAGACGCGATTTTTACATTTTTTAGTTCAACATTGGCTTTACTGCTGGACGTCTTCCAGCCAAACCAGCTGCTCGTTTCCACACTTATTTTCAGTGCATAATGTGTTTCCAGCTCTATCGTAAAGAAACAGCACTCTTGAATCGATCCTTAATACTTATCATTTTTCTTATGCCATCAATTCTTTTTTTTTTTTTTTTGTTGCACCTTTGGGACCACATCTTTTGTCTCGTCCCAGGTTCTATAAAGTATCCTTTTTTTTGCAAGAAACGTACCACAGTTAAATGTGAACAACCCACCCTTTAACTCAACGGTCCTATAAGAAAGACCATCTTTCACCAACGCATCAATAGCAACTATTTTATCACGACTCAACTGTTTCTGATTCGCGTTTCGATTATAATAAAAGATCACTAGCGAACGTAAAGAAAATTTGCCAAAAGTTCTTGCGCCCGAGACAATTGTCTAACTTGTCCATATGGACAGACCGACCCTGCATGGGAACACTTTGTGATAAGACTAGTATAAGTCCAAAACCACAGTGTAATCCCAGGTAACAGCAAAGCTGACTAACTGGTCAGAAAATACATCTTAGCTCCACTATTAATACTTGTAGCAGGGAAATGGGACAAAGCTCCACTCTTTTCGTGCGTTGTATTACTGGATAACTGGGCTTCGCGGAAACTTAGCCTGTACTGTGAAGACTTAGTTCTTGCGCTTTCACAAGATCCTTTTGATACGCTTATCATGATCGCCAGTGTATATAAAAAAGGTCTTGGAAAAATGCATTTATCAGGAATGTACAAAATACATATTAGAATACAACTCTGATCTAACAGAACTCCAATCCTCGCTATGAAACTTACTTTTTAGTATTTATTTATAACTCAAATAAATATTTATACCCTGAACAGGGTATATTAAGTTTGTCACGAAGTTTGTAACACCCAAAAGTAAGCGTCGGAGACCCTACAAAGTATATATATAAATGATCAGTATGTCGGTCTGAGTCGATTTAGCCATGTCCGTCCGTCTGTCTGTCTGTATATATACGAACTAGTCCCTCAGTTTTTATACTCTCGCAACAAAGTTGCTAAAGAGAGTATTATAGTTTTGTTCACATAACGGTTGTTTGTAAGTCCTAAAACTAAAAGAGTCAGATATATGGTTATATATACCAAAGTGATCAGGGTGACGAGTAGAGTTGAAATCCGTCTGTCCGTCTGTCCGTCCGTCCGTGCAAGCTGTAACTTGAGTAAAAATTGAGATATCATGATGAAACTTGGTTCACGTATTTCATGGCTCTATAAGAAGGTTAAGTTCGAAGATGGGCAAAATCGGCCCACTACCACGCCCACAAAATGGCGGAAACCGAAAACTTATAAAATGTCATAACTAAGCCGTAAAAAAAGATATTAAAATGAAATTTGGCACAAAGGATCGCACTAGGAAGGGGCATATTTTGATGTAATTTTTTTGGAAAAGTGGGCGTGGCCCCGGCCCCTACTAACTTTTTTGTACATATCTCAAAAACTACTATAGCTATGTCAACCAAACTGTATAGAGTCGTGTCATTTAGGCATTTCCATATACAGTTCAAAAATGGAAGAAGTCGGACAATAACCACGCCCACCTCCATACAAAGGTTATGTTGAAAATCACTAAAAGTGCGTTAACCGACTAACATAAAACGTCAGAAACACTAAATTTTACGGAAGAAATGTCAGAACGAAGCTGCATCCAGGTTTTTTTTTTTAAATTGAAAATGGGCGCGGCGTCGCCCACTTATGGACCAAAAACCATATCTCAGGAAGTACTCAACCGATTTCAATGAAATTCGGTATGTAATATTTTCTTAATACCGTGATGACATGTACCAAATATGGGTGAAATCGGTTCACAACCACGCCTGAAATCCCGATTATCACTTTATCATGCGAGAGTTTAAAATGTTCGGTGACACCCGAACTTAGCCCTTCCTTACTTGTCAAGATATCATTTTGAAATTTTGCAAACGTCATTTTCTCTTCAAGAAGCTGTTAATTTGTCGGAACGGCCGATATCGGACCACTATAACATATAGCTGCCATACAAACTGAACGATCGGAAGCAAATGCTTGTATGGAAAACTTTCACATTTGACAAGATATTTGCAGGAAGTTTGGTATATATTATTTTCTAAGGCAACAATGTAATCTCCAAAAAAATTGTTCAGAACGGATTACTAAAGCATATAGCTGCCATACAAACTGAACACATAGTTACTAACAGAAATGCGCCTGTGAAGGGTATTTAGCCTCGGTGCAACCGAAGTTAACGTTTTTTCTTGTTTTAAGTTAATAATAAATAATTTTAGTAAACGAGAGTCGTGTAAAAAAATAATGGAAAACGGACAGAGTTCTGAAGAGTTAAACGTTAATTAAATAGCGCCATTTTAACTGTTTTTCATTCGCATTTTTCATAATTTGTTGCTCCAAGTATCGACGGGATTGCAAATGAATGTAAATTCACAGGCGTGTGACTATAGTGAGTGTTTAACATATGTTTGTACAACAACAATGCAAGAAAACTGCAATTGAATTGATGTGAGTGGAATGCAATAAAAGGGTACTCGTATAAGTAAATAATTAAGTATGTGTGAATACAGTCGCGAGAGCAATGCACAAAGTAGATGCAAAAGACAGTTTCATTTCGGTAATTAAAATGTTAAAAAGGGAAAAAGGCAAAAAAGAAAAATTAACTACTTAAATTAATAAAAACTTGCTCGTTTCAATTCCTCTTTATATCGAATTTCTCGTCTTTTATATCCATGCAGTAAAATTTCCGAATGTTTCACGCACATTCCAATTCTCGCAACTACAGTTGCAAACGAAAGTAGGTGCTAAGGGAGAATGCGAAATGTAACGGCATTAAAATGTCAACTCCTTCATTAAATTAAAATGTGTCAATTAAAAAGAAAAAAAACAGAGCAAAAGCGAACGATATATGAGCGCATCGCATTGCCAATTACAAACAAAGAGGATTTTTTTTTTGTTAAACAATATTTGACAAATAATTAATGTTGCAACTCACTTAAATATTTTACACTCTGTGCCACTTTAATTTTTATTAAAACACTCAATAATTTTGTATGTATTTCCCTCTCATTACAGAAAATGCGTCAATTCCAAAAGACGCTGGAGGATTTGAGTTCACGCGTCGCCTCGGCCGAAGCCACGAAAGTATCATGGTTGCCACCCGTCTCCGCACAGGAGGCCACCGAGCAAATGCAACATTTGCAACGTTTGCGCGACAAAATGACCACCGCCGGTGCGCTGTTGGATGATTGCAACGAGCAGCAGGCATTCTTCACCGCCAATCAGGTGTTGGTGCCCGCCATGTGCCTATCACGGCTGGAAGATTTGAACACAAGGTGAGTGCCAAAGAAAGCACAATAATGTAATAATGTAAAGATGATCATAAATTAAATATTTCTATGAAAATAATGATATTTTTTGTAACATTGATTCATATTTTTTCATTTTAATTTCTATACACATTTCGGGATCTCCCAAATGGCAAATCCATTATATCCAGTGTTTGAAACATTAGGGTGACAGTGCAGGTTTCTTTAAAGCTTTCATTCAGCTCCCTTGAAGTAACCCCTCCAGAATAGTTCTCGGAAATTTTTCAGGGTTTAACTATGAACGCCAACACATCATCCAAAGTTATGTTCCCTTAAGCTTTCTTGCTTTTTACTACTTGATAGCTGGATCTCACGTGAGCTTGTGGTGCGCTAGTACTTGTGAAGTCGAGCCTTAGATAAAACGCAAGAACTCTGCGACCTTAGTAAATTTTACTTTTATCTACTTGTAGGGGATTTACTGGTCTTAATTCATTCTGCATCCATCTATTAAAAATATTACCATCACACCTTCAGGCATCTAAGCGCACTGGTGGGAATGTAAGTAAATGGTAATGCATTGCAAGGCTCCCAATGTTTGATGTGTGGGAAGTGACGCCATCTTGTTGGCATCAAAGAATTGTTGTTGTTGCTGTTGTAACAGAAAAGTAATTCTCTTTAGGATGGTAAGGATTAGATAAGTTGTCGACGCCATATAAATGTAGACCCAAGAAAGCACCTGTCGTAATTTGGAATACCGTACTTGAAGATTTTGAGAAGTGAAAAGGAATCTTAACGCCATCTACTACAACATTGAGGTCAAGTCTGTACTCCTTCGTCCAGTCAGTGAATATAGTCACTGCGGATTTAGAAAGAGATAGTGCTAAGTTCCGTGCAGCGAGGAAACGGAAAAAGTCAGAGAGATAGTTGTTCACCTTTGAACACATGCCATCAATTCCATTGTCCGACATCAATATCGTGCAATCATCAGCGTACGAGGTGATAGAAACTCCTTCAGGTGGTTGTGGGAGTTTCGAGATGTCGAAGTTAAGCGATAGCGGGGAGAGAACACCACCCTCCGAAACTCCTTGTTTAATTTTCTCACTTTTGAGTTTTTACTTCGCAAAAGTACGGATGATTGACGACCTCTCAGATAGTTCATGGTCCACCTCTTCAGTCCTTGAGGCGTAGTTTTTTCAATGTTCTCAAGTAGTTTTTGATGTCAACAATACATCAGTCCGAGTTGCTGCGAATGGCGTCTAATCAACTCTCCACGGTCTTTACGTACACGCTTAGCTATGGCTGCTATATTTTCTTCACTGTTTGCTGGACGTGGTCTACTCGGTCGAATATTATCCAATAATGAATGCTGGGTTTCAAGATGGGTGATGGTGTTGCGAATAGCTCTCACGCTTTGTATTGTGATATTGACCATAAGTTGAACAAAGCGCACGAAACAGATTCTTTATAGAACGTGTAGTTTCGTAATAAAATTGAACGATTTGTAAACGTTGCCGTATGTAAATCTTTCCATGATGAAATGCCAAATAATATTATACAAAAGTAAAAGCATCTATACTTGGATCACCCGTTACAACGTCCAAGGGGACTTATGATAGTAATACGAACGTTTATGATTTCCCAAAGACTTAAAGTTGGCATTCCAAGTGTGATCGCTTCGGAGTCCAGCACTTTGCGTTACTAATAAATCAGGTGATTCTCAGACCTGTGGAAGATTTGAAATTCATACGTATTCTTTTTGCGGAGTTTAACTTTAGTTAAGGTTGAACTTTTCTTCAGATTTATTAATGTCGTACAGATGACAGCAAAAAAAAAAATATTTCGAAAAGTAGTCTTTAACCAAGTTTCTAATTATTATTTTTCCAGAATGAAACTTCTACAAATTGCAATGGATGAACGGCAAAAGATACTTTGCAACGCTGGTGCTAATCAAGCTTTGGAAAATGGCGAAGATGGACGTACAACATCGAATAGTGGCACAATTGGGCCATTACCTAACCTAGGTCAAAGCGTAAAGCCACCCTGGGAACGCGCAACGACAGCAGCCAATGTGCCTTACTACATTGAGTGAGTATTAAAAAGTAGCAACCTCGAAGAGGAAAATAGCCTTAGCTATACCAGCTATTAGGCTAAACAAGCATTTCTTTAGAAGAAAAATATTTGAATACTCACACATTTAGAATCTATTAGAATAAAAATTGCCTCGAATGTGTTTTCTGCTTTGTTACCTTTATATGAATAACAATTCAGACCACACGAAAGTTGTTCACTTTTGGCACAGTGAAAAAGAGAGCGGGCAATCGGAGACAATTCCTCCCGAGCCTGAAGTTCTCATTGAGCCGGCGCTTTCCTATAATGTTTGGCAGATTTTTCTCTACAAACCTCGGTTATAGTTTTAGAATGCGTGGCCCAAGTTCAATTGATTCATTGAATGTCTAATCTAAGTCTAGAAAGTGTTTCTCCTTGCCGCAGCACAATTTAACAGTGGAAATCTAAAGACCATAAAGTAATCGCTATGGAAAGGTAATACTCTAGAAACTAAATGATTCGGCAAGAGGTTGTCGAACTCTGAGAAGTATACATTAAATATCACAAAATACCAAAAAAGCCTTTGAGTCTGCCGAAGGAAAGAACAGGAGTTTTCGAAACCTTATTTGTTCTCACAACTTTCATGAACTTTTCTTTCTTTATTTTCCTTTTACTATAGTCACGAGCGCGAAACCACTCACTGGGATCATCCAGAAATGATTGAATTGATGAAAAGTTTGGCTGACCTTAATGAAATCCGTTTCTCCGCCTATCGCACAGCAATGAAATTACGTGCCGTGCAAAAGCGTTTGGGTGAGTAGCCAACAAAAATAACTAAAACTAGCAAAATCGAGTACATAGCGTAAGTTGAATTAATTGATACATAGCACGTGACCACCAACGTAGAGACCGTACGTAATTCACGCAATAATTTTAATAATTTTACAACTTTGTTTACCCAAATTATAGCGCTGGATCGCATTCCCATGTCCACTGCCATCGAATCGTTCGATCGTCATGCGTTGCGCGCACAAAACGACAAACTCATCGATATACCCGACATGACGACCGTCTTGCATTCGCTCTATGTGACAATCGATAAAATTGACTTGACTTTAATGTTGGATTTGGCCATAAACTGGATACTAAATGTTTACGACTCGCAGCGCACCGGACAGATACGTGTGCTGAGCTTTAAGGTGAGAGCGCCGCTTAACGGTACATACATATTTTACTCATTTTATGCGTTAATGAATGGTTTTTTTTTTTGCTTTGTTTTTGTTTTTATACGCCGGCAGGTTGGCTTGATTTTGCTCTGCAAGGGTCATCTCGAGGAGAAATATCGCTACTTATTCCGTTTGATTGCCGACCCGGAGCGCAAAGTCGACCAAAGAAAATTGGGCTTGCTGCTGCATGACTGCATACAGGTGCATTGTTGTTGCCAGCTTGGTGTGATAGCTTTATTTGACATACACTTTTCTTAATATTTCTGCTTCGCAGGTTCCACGCCAGCTGGGCGAAGTGGCCGCTTTCGGTGGTTCCAATATCGAGCCTTCGGTGCGCTCATGCCTCGAACGCGCTGGCATCTCGCAGGAAGGTAAGAGCTTTCAACGAAGAATTCAATTACTTAAATGTCCTTAATGAAAACTATTAACCTATCACTTGCAACGTTCGTCAACGCCACGAAAGTCCATCATAAAAATACATATTTGCCATTTAAGCATTAATTAATTGCATTGTAAATGAATTTTCCGCAATTTTCAAGCCACTCAATTCACCTCTTATTAACCATAAACTTTTTATATACCTCTTTTCAATCTCTTTTGCGCCGCCATCACAGCCATTGACGCCAATCAGGAAATTGCCATTGAACAATCACACTTCCTCGGCTGGTTGCAACACGAGCCGCAGAGTTTAGTATGGATGCCGGTGTTGCATCGTCTAGCGGCTGCCGAAACGGCCAAACATCAGGTAAGTGCGTTTTTGAAAGTGTGTGGTACCTACTAACAGCAGACGCTCGCCTGTAATTGAGGGGGCGGCACTGCAGGGCGTCTTTAACGCCACTCTTCTTACCAAAACCTACACCAACTCATCCTGCAATCAACCGCATCCTTGTGTACCCGTTAAGCTAGCAGGCGCAGCAATGTTCACACACTTATCGGCAATTATTTCACAATTCACCACAGCTTCCACGAATTCTGTCTCCGCTACTTCGGCCAACACTTTTACCATTTACCTTTTTCGCTCCTCAAATTTTCACATCAAATCCCAATATCTTACACCTTAAAAGCTTACATACTTACATATAAATTATACCCCAACATACACCTTAACTCAAATATCAAATACATGTACATATATACTCGTATATATATCTATGGCTTCGCCACAAGCAGTTACTAAATCCAATATTTGCATTTCTCGGTACACCACTCGTCGCTTTGTCGTGGCCAACACCTTCGCCCGCCGTAATCGTAACCACTACCTACACACATAAATAACTGTTTTCCATCCAAATATTAAAATGGCAACAACGCTATCGGAAAATTGGCGACAACAGGCAAAATGTAACATTTGTAAGGAGTATCCGATAATTGGATTCCGTTATCGCTGCCTCAAGTGCTTCAATTTCGATATGTGCCAAAAGTGTTTCTTCTTCGGACGTAACGCCAAAAATCACAAATTGAGTCATCCAATGCACGAGTATTGCACAACGGTAAGTACTCGACGAAGAGCGAAGTAGATGAGAGTCAAGAGATAGTACGGGTATAAAGTGAGCAAATAATGGATGAAGATAGCAGTAGATGTGTGTAATGAGGTTGAGATAAAGATAACATTACCGTGATGAAAATGCCAGTAGTAAGTAGATGAAGGTAAAAATAACAATGCTTCAGATAAGCGATATGATCGTTAATAAAGTTAAAGAGGAAGAAGTCTAGCTAAAGAGTTGTGATAAAATGTAGAAAAAAATGACTCCTGTCACTACTAGTATTCACTTGTTTAGATGAAGGATGACAAAAAATAAATAAATAAAGATAAAGATAAAGATAAAGATAAAGATAAAGATAAAGATAAAGATAAAGATAAAGATAAAAATAAAGATAAAGATAAAGATAAAGATAAAGATAAAGATAAAGATAAAGATAAAGATAAAGATAAAGATAAAGATAAAGATAAAGATAAAGATAAAGA